CTCGTAAAAGCAGATCGCCCAGAGGTCGATAAAAAAGATGCTTTTTGTCAAAATGGGCCTCGTAAAAGCAGACATTGGCAGAGAGCAAAATTTAAATTTTAATATTGCATTGATGAATTTAAAGGGCACTGATCTCGTAAAAGCAGATCTCCCAGCAGGTCGATAAAAAAGATGCTTTTTGTCAAAATGGGCCTCGTAAAAGCAGACCTTGGCAGAGAGCAAAATTTAAATTTTAATATGACATTGATGAATTTAAAGGGCACTGATCTCGTAAAAGCAGATCGCCCAGCAGGTTGATAAAAAAGATGCTTTTTGTCAAAATGGGCCTCGTAAAAGCATACCTTGGCAGAGAGCAAAATTTAAATTTTAATATTAAATTGATGAATTTAAAGGGCACTGATCTCGTAAAAGCAGATTGCCCAACAGGTCGATAAAAAGATGCTTTTTGTCAAAATAGGCCTCGTAAAAGCAGACCTTGGCAGAGCAAAATTTAAATTTTAATATAACATTGATGAATTTAAAGGGCACTGATCTCATAAAAGCAGATCGCCCAGCAGGTCGATAAAAAGATGCTTTTTGTCAAAATGGGCCTCGTAAAAGCAGACATCGGCAGAGAGCAAAATTTAGATTTTAATATAACATTGATGAATTTAAAGGGCACTGATCTCGTAAAAGCAGATCGCCCAGCAGGTCAATAAAAAAGATGCTTTAGTCAATATGGGCCTCGTAAAAGCATACCTTGGCAGAGAGCAAAATTTTAATTTTAATATAGCACTGATGAATTTAAAGGGCACTGATCTCGTAAAAGCAGATCGCCCAGCAGGTCGATAAAAAGATGCTTTTTGTCAAAATGGGCCTCGTAAAAGCAGACCTTGGCAGAGAGCAAAATTTAAATTTTTATATAACATTGATGAATTTAAAGGGCACTGATCTCGTAAAAGCAGATCGCTCAGCAGGTCGATAAAAAGATGCTTTTTGTCAAAATGGGCCTCGTAAAAGCAGACCTTGGCAGAGAGCAAAATTTAAATTTTTATATAACATTGATGAATTTAAAGGGCACTGATCTCGTAAAAGCAGATCGCTCAGCAGGTCGATAAAAAAGGTGCTCTTTGTCAATATGGGCCTCGTAAAAGCAGATCTAGACCTTGGCAGAGAGCAAAATATAAATATTTAATATAACATTGATGAATTTAAAGGGCACTGATCTCGTAAAAGCAGATCGCCCAGCAAAGCAGGTTATTTAATATGTCAGAAACTTGTTTTATGAAAAAATATATTTTAAATCTGGTCTGGCTTTATTTCCTCAAGGCAAAAGGTTGACAGTTTTTGGTCAAGGTAGTTTTTGATGAAGTTGAAGTCCAATCAACTTGAAACTTAGTACACATGTTCCCTATGATATGATCTTTCTAATTTTTATGCCAAATTAGAGTTTTGACCCCAATTTCAGGGTCCACTGAACATAGAAAATGATAGTGCGAGTGGGGCATCCGTGTACTATGGACACATTCTTGTTAAAAATCTTTGTTTACAAGATGAGTTGATTTTGGTCATGCATTTTTTTTTTGTACCCCAGAATTAAATACTTATTGGAGTGACTTCCGTAATCTTTTTTCATTCAGTTGTCAGGGTTTAGATAACACTTTACTACTAGTATTTAAAAGATGTTTTTATTACAATAAGTATGCAGTATAAAAAATAGAAAATATTCACACCAAGCTCGCATGAACCTTAAAATACAGTACCTAACAAAACTTCCCCTACACACAGACAAAAGTGGGTCAAGTCCATCCTCTACGTTTATACATCACTTTTAAAAAAATCATAACATTAGCAAAAAGGGGGAAGTGGGTAGGATCTGGGATTTATGATGGTAAGTTATTTTACGAAACCAGATTTTGGCACTAAAGATGAAGTTTTTTTTACAATGATAACTTGCCATCATAATTTTGATTCATCAACATAATAAATTCCACTGAGAACTAGATGGAAATATTACTTTCCGAAAATCCTACTGGAATTTGAGGAAAGAGAGTCTTCAAAAGGCTTCACATCATCTAGAGACAGTACTTTTGGAGGGCAGGTCCTATGCTTAATCAGCTTCTTCCCCTTCACCACTTGGGCTTTTTTGCCATTTGATGAAGCAGAAGATTTGGGGTAAGCTGTCTTCTTGACTAGAGGATGCCCAGGATACTTCTTATAGAAGTCATTAGACTGATAGTGTGAGATGGTATCAGTCCTTACACCCTCAGTATCCTGGACATGATAGTCTGCGGTGCTTTACTTCTCAAGTTCTGGCCCTCAATGGCTGAGTGGTCTAAGTAGTCCAACTACTGTATCACTAGCCTGTCAACACTGAGATTGTGAGTTCGAATCCTGCATGTGGCAGATGCCTTTGACTCCAATCTTAATTGATTAGGATTGCATGTCAGTTTTCTAACTGAAGGTCAGGGGTTCTCTCCAGGCACTCAGGTTTCCTCCACCAATAAAAACTGACTGCCATGAAATAGCCAATATTGCTGAAAGTGGCATTAAACACCAATCAATCAATAAATTGATCTTCCCCTTCGCCACTTTGGTTTTTTTGTCATTGGATGAAGCAGAAGGTTTATGGTCTGCTGTCCTCAAGCATTGACTAGAAGATTGTTTAGGATCCTACTTATGGTAGGCAATAGACTGATAGTGTGAGATGTTACCTTACTCACACCATCAGTATCCTGGACATAAACCATCTTAGTCGGGGGTGCTTTATCTACTTCCCATCTCTTGATCTGCTTCTTCCCCTTCACCACTTTGGTATTTTTTCCATTGGATGAAGCAGAAGATTTAGGGTATTACCCAGTAAGCTGTCTTCTTAACTAGAAGATGGACCAGGATCCTTCTTATGAAAGGCATTAGATTGATAGTGTGAGATGTTACCTTACTCACACCATCAGTCTCCTGGACATAAACCATCTTAGTCTGCTTCTTCTCCAGTTCTGGCCCTCGTTGGCTGAGTGGTCTAAGTAGTCCAACTACTGTATCACTAGCCTATCAAAACTGAGATTGTGACTTTGAATCCTGCATGTGGCGGATGCATTCAACTCCAATCTTTATTGACTAGGATAGTCAGTTTTCCTACCTAAGTGTGGGGGAGGGGGAGGGGGAGGAGGTTAGAAAAGTGAGTAAGGTAGAGGGTCAACATGAGTCACTTTGAGTTGTTGATGTGTAGGTTTTTTTGTGCTTTTTAGTTCATGTGAGCTGATATTATCTAAATTTATCATGGGGACATATTTATTGTTATAAAAACATCTTTTCACTAGTCAGTGTTACAAGAAGTTAGAAATCCTTAAAATCATAAATATTTTAAATCACTCAACCATTCTCCTAACCTGGGACAGTGGTTTAACAGTTCTTCTTTATATATATTTTGGAAAAAGTTTCATTTTTTAAATAAGCAAACTTTATTAAAAGTTTTATATTTGGTTTGATATTTTTGAACTTTTTTTTGGCTCACTGTTGAATATATGTATAACTCATTTGAGTTGACCAGCAGCTGTCTACAGACCCTGAAAAAGGCTCCATTGAAGCACACCAGGATTAGGAACATAGAGATATGTATAATTCATTTAAATTAAAACTATATTTCATTTAAATATAAACTAATCTATAATTTTTGTTTTTGTAGCAGTTTATTTTTGTTACAGTACACAGACCAGAGGATATTAGTCAGACCATGAAGATGGATGGTTTCATTGTAGATGACAGATATGTAGCATGTAGGTATTTGGTTATTGCAATTGTACTTAAAACCCATTACTATGTTAATATTTGTTTGGTAATATAAATTAGTTTCTCCCTAGAAAAACAGCTTGAAAGATTATTACAAATTGTCCCAAAATTTCTTATTCAAATTAATACTCTAATGAAATATATTTAAATAGAATGGATTGTAATTGGCTGCCATCAATATAAAAATAAGGAGATGTGGTATGATTGCCAATGAGACAACTATCCACCAAAGTTCAAATGAAGTTGTTGTTAGAAATTATAGGCAACCGTATGGCCTTCAACAATGAGAAAAACCCATACCCTATGGTCGGCTATAAAAGGTCCTGACATGAAAAATATGAAACAATTCAAATGAAAAAACTAACGGCCTAATTTATAACAACAATTTACGGAAAACAAATACGACAGAGATGAACAAACGACAACCACTGCACTACAGGCTCCTGACTTGGGACAGGCACATATAGAATGTGGCGGGGTTAAACATGTTTGTGAGCGCTCATCCCTCCCCTAACCTGGGACAGCATTTGAGATGACCAGCAGCTGTCTATGAATAATTTTTTTTGTTTCAGATGTTACGAAGAAGATGATTACATCACAGACCCTGAAAAAGACTCCATTGAAGCACACCAGGATAACCAACATTGGGATAAGTATATTTGATTTAAATTAAAACTATTTTTCATTGAAATATAAACTAATCTATAAGTTTTGTTTTTGTAGCAGTTTGTTTTTGTTAAAGTAGCAGGCCAGAGGATATTAGTCAGACCATGAAGATGGATGGTTTCATTGTAGATGACAGATATGTAGCATGTAAGTATTTGGTCATTGCAATTGTACTTAAAACACATTACTATGTTAAATATTTGTTTGGTAATAAAAATCAGTTTTTCCCTAGAAAAGGCTCCTGACTTGGGACAGGCACATATAGAATGTGGCGGGGTTAAACGTGTTTGTGAGCGCTCATCCCTCCCCTAACCTGGGACAGTGTTGTAACAGTTCTTCTTTATATATATTTTGAAAAAAGTTTCATTTTTTGAATAAGCAAACTGTATTAAAAGTTATATATTTGGTTTGATATTTTTGATTTTTTTTTTTTGGCTCACTGTTGAATATATGTATAACTTATTTGAGATGACCAGCAGCTGTCTATGAATAATTTTTTTTGTTTCAGATGTTACGAAGAAGATGATTACATCACAGACCCTGAAAAAGACTCCATTGAAGCACACCAGGATAAGAAACATTGAGATAAGTATATTTTATTTAAATTAAAACTATTTTTCATTGAAATATAAACTAATCTATAAGTTTTGTTTTTGTAGCAGTTTGTTTTTCTTACAGTAGCAGGCCAGAGGATATTAGTCAGACCATGAAGATGGATGGTTTCATTGTAGATGACAGATATGTAGCATGTAAGTATTTGGTCATTGCAATTGTACTTAAAACACATTACTATGTTAAATATTTGTTTGGTAATAAAAATCAGTTTTTCCCTAGAAAAACAGCTTGAAAGTTTATTACAAATTGTCCCAAAATTTCTTATTCAAATTAATACTCTAATGAAATATATTTTAATAGAATGTATTGTAATTGGCTGCCATCAATATAAAAATAAGGAGATGTGGTATGATTGCCAATGAGACAACTATCCACCAAAGTTCAAATGAAGTTGATGTAAGAAGTTATAGGCAACCGTACGGCCTTCAACAATGAGAAAAACCCATACCCTATGGTCGTCTATAAAAGGCCCGAACATGAAAAATATGAAACAATTCAAATGAAAAAACTAACGGCCTAATTTATAACAAAACAATTTACGAAAAACAAATATGACAGAGATGAACCAACGACAACCACTACACTACAGGCTCCTGACTTGGGACAGGCACATATAGAATGTGGCGGGGTTAAACGTGTTTGTGAGCGCTCATCCCTCCCCTAACCTGGGACAGTGTTGTAACAGTTCTTCTTTATATATATTTTGAAAAAAGTTTCATTTTTTGAATAAGAAAACTGTATATAAAGTTATATATTTGGTTTGATATTTTTGAACTTTTTTTTTTGGCTCACTGTTGAATATATGTATAACTTATTTGAGATGACCAGCACCTGTCTATGAATAATTTTTTTTGTTTCAGATGTTACAAAGAAGAAGATTACATCACAGACCCTGAAAAAGACTCCATTGAAGCACACCAGGATAACCAACATTGAGATAAGTATATTTTATTAAAATTAAAATCATTTTTCATTGAAATATAAACTAATCTATAATTTTTGTTTTTGTAGCACTTTGTTTTTGTTACAGTAGCAGGCCAGAGGATATTAGTCAGACCATGAAGATGGATGGTTTCATTGTAGATGACAGATATGTAGCATGTAGGTATTTGGTCATTGCAATTGTACTTAAAACACATTACTATGTTAATATTTGTTTGGTAATAAAAATCAGTTTTTCCCTAGAAAAACAGCTTGAAAGTTTATTACAAATTGTCCCAAAATTTCATATTCAAATTAATACTCTAATGAAACATATTTTAATAGAATGTATTGTAATTGGCTGCCATCAATATAAAAATAAGGAGATGTGGTATGTTGCCAATGAGACAACTATCCACCAAAGTTCAAATGAAGTTGATGTAAGAAGTTATAGGCAACCGTACGGCCTTCAACAATGAGAAAAACCCATACCCTATGGTCGGCTATAAAAGTCCCTGACATGAAAAATATGAAAGAATTCAAATAAAAAACTAACGGCCTAATTTATAACAAAGCAGTTTACGAAAAACAAATTAACAGAGATGAACCAACGACAACCACTGCACTACAGGCTCCTGACTTGGGACCGGCACATAATGTGGCGGGGTTAAACATGTTTGTGAGCGCTCATCCCTTCCCTAACCTGGGACAGTGGTGTAACAGTTCTTCTTTATATATATTTTGAAAAAAGTTTCATTTTTTGAATAAGCAAACTGTATTAAAAGTTATATATTTGGTTTGATATTTTTGAACATTTTTTTTTCGCTCACTGTTGAATATATGTATAACTTATTTGAGATGACCAGCACCTGTCTATGAATAATTTTTTTTGTTTCAGATGTTACAAAGAAGATGATTACATCACAGACCCTGAAAAAGACTCCATTGAAGCACACCAGGATAACCAACATTGAGATAAGTATATTTTATTAAAATTAAAATCATTTTTCATTGAAATATAAACTAATCTATAATTTTTGTTTTTGTAGCACTTTGTTTTTGTTACAGTAGCAGGCCAGAGGATATTAGTCAGACCATGAAGATGGATGGTTTCATTGTAGATGACAGATATGTAGCATGTAGGTATTTGGTCATTGCAATTGTACTTAAAACACATTACTATGTTAATATTTGTTTGGTAATAAAAATCAGTTTTTCCCTAGAAAAACAGCTTGAAAGTTTATTACAAATTGTCCCAAAATTTCATATTCAAATTAATACTCTAATGAAATATATTTTAATAGAATGTATTGTAATTGGCTGCCATCAATATAAAAATAAGGAGATGTGGTATGATTGCCAATGAGACAACTATCCACCAAAGTTCAAATGAAGTTGATGTAAGAAGTTATAGGCAACCGTACGGCCTTCAACAATGAGAAAAACCCATACCTTATGGTCGGCTATAAAAGGCCCTGACATGAAAAATATGAAAGAATTCAAATGAAAAAACTAACGGCCTAATTTATAACAAAGCAGTTTACGAAAAACAAATATGACAGAGATGAACCAACGACAACCACTGCACTACAGGCTCCTGACTTGGGACCGGCACATAATGTGGCGGGGTTAAACATGTTTGTGAGCGCTCATCCCTTCCCTAACCTGGGACAGTGGTGTAACAGTTCTTCTTTATATATATTTTGAAAAAAGTTTCATTTTTTGAATAAGCAAACTGTATTAAAAGTTATATATTTGGTTTGATATTTTTGAACATTTTTTTTTTGGCTCACTGTTGAATATATGTATAACTTATTTCAGATGACCAGCAGCTGTCTATGAATATTTTGTTTTGTTTCAGATGTTACGAATAAGATGTTTACATCACAGACCCTGAAAAAGATTCCATTGAAGCACACCAGGATAAGCAACATTGAGATAAGTATATTTTATTTAAATTAAAACTATTTTTCATTGAAATATAAACTAATCTATAAGTTTTGTTTTTGTAGCAGTTTGTTTTTGTTACAGTAGAAGGCCAGAGGATATTAGTCAGACCATGAAGATGGATGGTTTCATTATAGATGACAGATATGTAGCATGTAAGTATTTGGTCATTGCAATTGTACTTAAAACACATTACTATGTTAATATTTGTTTGGTAATAAAAATCAGTTTTTACCTAGAAAAACAGCTTGAAAGTTTATTACAAATTGTACCAAAATTACTTATTCAAATTAATACTCTAATGAAATATATTTTAATAGAATGTATTGTAATTGGCTGCCATCAATATAAAAATAAGGAGATGTGGTATGATTGCCAATGAGACAACTATCCACCAAAGTTCAAATGAAGTTGATGTAAGAAATTATAGGCAACCGTATGGCCTTCAACAATGAGAAAAACCCATACCCTATGGTCGTCTATAGAAGGCCCTGACATGAAAAATATGAAACAATTCAAATGAAAAAATAACGGCTTAATTTATAACAACACAATTTACGAAAAACAAATATGACAGAGATGAACCGACGACAACCACTGCACTACAGGCTCTTGACTTGGGACAGGCACATATAAAATGTGGCGGGGTTAAACATGTTTTGTGAGTGCTCATCCCTCCCCTAACCTGGGACAGTGGTATAACAGTTCTTCTTTATATATATTTTAAAAAAAGTTTCATTTTTTGAATAAGCAAACTGTATTAAAAGTTATATATTTGGTTTGATATTTTTGAACTTTTTTTTTTGGCTCACTGTTGAATATATGTATAACTTATTTGAGATGACCAGCAGCTGTCTATGAATATTTTTTTTTGTTTCAGATGTTACAAAGAAGATGTTTACATCACAGACCCTGAAAAAGACTCCATTGAAGCACACCAGGATAACCAACATTGAGATAAGTATATTTTATTTAAATTAAAACTATTTTTCATTGAAATATAAACTAATCTATAAGTTTTGTTTTTGTAGCAGTTTGTTTTTGTTACAGTAGCAGGCCAGAGGATATTAGTCAGACCATGAAGATGGATGGTTTCATTGTAGATGACAGATATGTAGCATGTAAGTATTTGGTCATTGCAATTGTACTTAAAACACATTACTATGTTAATATTTGTTTGGTAATAAAAATCAGTTTTTCCCTAGAAAAACAGCTTGAAAGTTTATTACAAATTGTCCCAAAATAACTTATTCAAATTAATACTCTAATGAAATATATTTTGATAGAATGTATTGTAATTGGCTGCCATCAATATAAAAATAAGGAGATGTGGTATGATTGCCAATGAGACAACTATCCACCAAAGTTTAAATGAAGTTGATGTAAGAAATTATAGGCAACCGTACGGCCTTCAACAATGAGAAAAACCCATACCGTATGGTCGGCTTTAAAAGGCCCTGACATGAAAAATATGAAACAATTCAAATGAAAGAACTAACGGCCTAATTCATAACAACACAATTTACGAAAAACAAATATGACGGAGATGAACCAACGACAACCACTGCACTACAGGTTCCTGACTTGGGACAGGCACATATAAAATGTGGCGGGGTTAAACATGTCTTGTGAGTGCTCATCCCTCCCCTAACCTGGGACAGTGTTGTAACAGTTCTTCTTTATATATATTTTGAAAAAAGTTTCATTTTTTGAATAAGCAAACTGTATTAAAAGTTATATATTTGGTTTGATATTTTTGAACATTTTTTTTTTGGCTCACTGTTGAATATATGTATAACTTATTTGAGATGACCAGCAGCTGTCTATGAATATTTTTTTTTGTTTCAGATGTTACGAAGAAGATGATTACATCACAGACCCTGAAAAAGACTCCATTGAAGCACACCAGGATAACCAACATTGAGATAAGTATATTTCATTTAAATTAAAACTATTTTTCATTGAAATATAAACTAATCTATAAGTTTTGTTTTTGTAGCAGTTTGTTTTTGTTACAGTAGCAGGCCAGAGGATATTAGTCAGACCATGAAGATGGATGGTTTCATTGTAGATGACAGATATGTAGCATGTAAGTATTTGGTCATTGCAATTGTACTTAAAACACATTACTATGTTAATATTTGTTTGGTAATAAAAATCAGTTTTTCCCTAGAAAAACAGCTTGAAAGTTTATTACAAATTGTACCAAAATTTATTATTCAAATTAATACTCTAATGAAATATATTTTGATAGAATGTATTGTAATTGGCTGCCATCAATATAAAAATAAGGAGATGTGGTATGATTGCCAATGAGACAACTATCCACCAAAGTTTAAATGAAGTTGATGTAAGAAATTATAGGCAACCGTACAGCCTTCAACAATGAGAAAAACCCATACCGTATGGTCGGCTTTAAAAGGCCCTGACATGAAAAATATTAAACAATTCAAATGAAAGAACTAACGGCCTAATTCATAACAAAACAATTTACGAAAAACAAATATGACGGAGATGAACCAACGACAACCACTGCACTACAGGCTCCTGACTTGGGACAGGCACATATAAAATGTGGCGGGGTTAAACATGTTTGTGAGCGCTCATCCCTTTCCTAACCTGGGACAGTGGTGTAACAGTTCTTCTTTATATATATTTTGAAAAAAGTTTCATTTTTTGAATAAGCAAACTGTATTAAAAGTTATATATTTGGTTTGATATTTTTGAACATTTTTTTTTTGGCTCACTGTTGAATATATGTATAACTTATTTGAGATGACCAGCAGCTGTCTATGAATAATTTTTTTTGTTTCAGATGTTACGAAGAAGATGTTTACATCACAGACCCTGAAAAAGACTCCATTGAAGCACACCAGGATAAGCAACATTGAGATAAGTATATTTTATTTAAATTAAAACTATTTTTCATTGAAATATAAACTAATCTATAAGTTTTGTTTTTGTAGCAGTTTGTTTTTGTTACAGTAGCAGGCCAGAGGATATTAGTCAGACCATGAAGATGGATGGTTTCATTGTAGATGACAGATATGTAGCATGTAAGTATTTGGTCATTGCAATTGTACTTAAAACACATTACTATGTTAATATTTGTTTGGTAATAAAAATCAGTTTTTCCCTAGAAAAACAGCTTGAAAGTTTATTACAAATTGTCCCAAAATTACTTATTCAAATTAATACTCTAATGAAATATATTTTAATAGAATGTATTGTAATTGGCTGCCATCAATATAAAAATAAGGAGATGTGGTATGATTGCCAATGAGACAACTATCCACCAAAGTTCAAATGAAGTTGATGTAAGAAGTTATAGGCAGCCGTACGTCCTTCAACAATGAGAAAAACCCATACCCTATGGTCGTCTATAAAAGGCCCTGACATGAAAAATATGAAACAATTCAAAAGAAAAAATAACGGCTTAATTTATAACAACACAATTTACGAAAAAAACAAATATGACAGAGATGAACCAACGACAACCACTGCACTACAGGCTCCTGACTTGGGACAGGCACATATAAAATGTGGCGGGGTTAAACATGTTTTGTGAGTGCTCATCCCTCCCCTAACCTGGGACAGTGGTATAACAGTTCTTCTTTATATATATTTAAAAAAAAGTTTCATTTTTTGAATAAGCAAACTGTATTAAAAGTTATATATTTGGTTTGATATTTTTGAACTTTTTTTTTTGGCTCACTGTTGAATATATGTATAACTTATTTGAGATGACCAGCAGCTGTCTATGAATAATTTTTTTTGTTTCAGATGTTACGAAGAAGATGTTTACATCACAGACCCTGAAAAAGACTCCATTGAAGCACACCAGGATAACCAACATTGAGATAAGTATATTTTATTTAAATTAAAACTATTTTTCATTGAAATATAAACTAATCTATAAGTTTTGTTTTTGTAGCAGTTTGTTTTTCTTACAGTAGCAGGCCAGAGGATATTAGTCAGACCATGAAGATGGATGGTTTCATTGTAGATGACAGATATGTAGCATGTAAGTATTTGGTCATTGCAATTGTAATTAAAACACATTACTATGTTAATATTTGTTTGGTAATAAAAATCAGTTTTTCCCTAGAAAAACAGCTTGAAAGTTTATTACAAATTGTCCCAAAATTACTTATTCAAATTAATACTCTAATGAAATATATTTTAATAGAATGTATTGTAATTGGCTGCCATCAATATAAAAATAAGGAGATGTGGTATGATTGCCAATGAGACAACTATCCACCAAAGTTCAAATGAAGTTGATGTAAGAAGTTATAGGCAACCGTACGTCCTTCAACAATGAGAAAAACCCATACCCTATGGTCGTCTATAAAAGGCCCTGACATGAAAAATATGAAACAATTCAAAAGAAAAAATAACGGCTTAATTTATAACAACACAATTTACGAAAAACAAATATGACGGAGATGAACCAACGACAACCACTGCAGGCTCCTGACTTGGGACAGGCACATATAAAATGTGGCGGGGTTAAACATGTTTTGTGAGTGCTCATCCCTCCCCTAACCTGGGACAGTGGTGTAACAGTTCTTCTTTATATATATTAAAAGAAAAGTTTCATTTTTTGAATAAGCAAACTGTATTAAAAGTTATATATTTGGTTTGATATTTTTGAACTTTTTTTTTTGGCTCACTGTTGAATATATGTATAACTTATTTGAGATGACCAGCAGCTGTCTATGAATAATTTCTTTTGTTTCAGATGTTACGAAGAAGATGTTTACATCACAGACCCTGAAAAAGACTCCATTGAAGCACACCAGGATAACCAACATTGAGATAAGTATATTTTATTTAAATTAAAACTATTTTTCATTGAAATATAAACTAATCTATAAGTTTTGTTTTTGTAGCAGTTTGTTTTTGTTACAGTAGCAGGCCAGAGGATATTAGTCAGACCATGAAGATGGATGGTTTCATTGTAGATGACAGATATGTAGCATGTAGGTATTTGGTCATTGCAATTGTACTTAAAAACACATTACTATGTTAATATTTGTTTGGTAATAAAAATCAGTTTTTCCCTAGAAAAACAGCTTGAAAGTTTATTACAAATTGTACCAAAATTTCTTATTCAAATTAATACTCTAATGAAATATATTTTGATAGAATGTATTGTAATTGGCTGACATCAATATAAAAATAAGGAGATGTGGTATGATTGCCAATGAGACAACTATCCACCAAAGTTCAAATGAAGTTGATGTAAGAAATTATAGGCAACCGTAGGGCCTTCAACAATGAGAAAAACCCATACCGTATGGTCGGCTTTAAAAGGCCCTGACATGAAAAATATGAAACAATTCAAATGAAAGAACTAACAGCCTAATTCATAACAAAACAATTTATGAAAAACAAATATGACAGAGATGAACCAACGACAACCACTGCACTACAGGCTCCTGACTTGGGACCGGCACATAATGTGGCGGGGTTAAACATGTTTGTGAGCGCTCATCCCTTTCCGAACCTGGGACAGTGGTGTAACAGTTCTTCTTTATATATATTTTGAAAAAAGTTTCATTTTTTGAATAAGCAAACTGTATTAAAAGTTATATATTTGGTTTGATATTTTTGAACAATTTTTTTTTGGCTCACTGTTGAATATATGTATAACTTATTTGAGATGACCATCAGTTGTCTATGAATAAGTTTTTTTGTTTCAGATGATACGAAGAAGATGTTGACATCATAGACCCCGAAAAAGACTCCATTGAAGCACACCAGGATAACCAACATTGAGATAAGTATATTTTATTTAAATTAAAACTATTTTTCATTGAAATATAAACTAATCTATAAGTTTTGTTTTTGTAGCAGTTTGTTTTTGTTACAGTAGCAGGCCAGAGGATATTAGTCAGACCATGAAGATGGATGGTTTCATTATAGATGACAGATATGTAGCATGTAAGTATTTGGTCATTGCAATTGTACTTAAAACACATTACTATGTTAATATTTGTTTGGTAATAAAAATCAGTTTTTCCCTAGAAAAACAGCTTGAAAGTTTATTACAAATTGTCCCAAAATTACTTATTCAAATTAATACTCTAATGAAATATATTTTAATAGAATGTATTGTAATTGGCTGCCATCAATATAAAAATAAGGAGATGTGGTATGATTGCCAATGAGACAACTATCCACCAAAGTTCAAATGAAGTTGATGTAAGAAATTATAGGCAACCGTATGGCCTTCAACAATGAGAAAAACCCATACCCTATGGTATGCTATAAAAGGCCCTGACATGAAAAATATGAAACAATTCAAATGAAAAAACTAAACGCCTAATTTATAACAAAACAATTTACGAAAAACAAATATGACAGAGATGAACCAACAACAACCACTGCACTACAGGCTCTTGACTTGGGACAGGCACATAAAGAATGTGGCGGGGTTAAACATGTTTGTGAGCGCTCATCCCTCCCCTAACCTGGGACAGTGGTGTAACAGTTCTTCTTTATATGTATTTTGAAAAAAGTTTCATTTTTTGAATAAGCAAACTGTATTAAAAGTTAAATATTTGGTTTGATATTTTTGAACTTTTGGCTCACTGTTGAATATATGTATAACTTATTTGAGATGACCAGCAACTGTCTATGTTTATTTTTGTTTTCGTTTCAGATGTTACGAAGAAGATGTTTACATCATAGACCCTGAAAAAGACTCCATTGAAGCACACCAGGATAAACAACATTGAGATAAGTATATTTTATTTAAATTAAAACTATTTTTCATTGAAATATAAACTAATCTATAAGTTTTGTTTTTGTAGCAGTTTGTTTTTGTTACAGTAGCAGGTCAGAGGATATTAGTCAGACCATGAAGATGGATGGTTTCATTGTAGATGACAGATATGTAGCATGTAAGTATTTGGTGATTTCAATTGTACTTAAGACTATGTTAATATTTATTTGGTAATAAAAATCTGTTTCCCCTGGAAAAAACGGCTTGAAATTTCATTACAAATTGTACCAAAATTTCTTATTCAAATTTTACTCAAATGAAATATATTTTAATAAGAATTTATTGTAATTGGAAATATACTTGCCCTCTTAATTTAGGATTTGACATAAAACATGCATCACATTAATTTCTGAATTAATTTTAAGAGCAAATAGTCTCAACACTGACAATCTGGATAATTACATATTTATATTTCCATGTATGTGCAGAGTTAAGATTGAAAAACCAAATAAATCATCAAAGATTTCAGCTGCATGGAAGATATTTACTTAGATCTTACCAAGTCGGAGGATTTGCCATGTAAGCAAGGATAGCAGCTCCTTGGAAGATGTTTACTTAGATCTTCAACCAAGTCTGAGGACTGCCATGAAAGCAACCAAGCAGAAAGGATAGCCGCTCCAAGGAAGATTATAAGATTGATCTTCACCCCCAGAAGTCTGAGGCTTGTCATGAAAGAAATGATGCAAGTATATTTAAGCCAACCATTTTCTGTACACTATCTAGAAAAATGTGATAAAGTACATAAGGCAACACACATTTTTCTTATTTTGCACATTTAGTTTGATAAATGTTTTCCAGGTGCACAAATAAAATTCTATGCCATGAAAAGTAAATCCAGTGATAGAATTGTGTCTTTCAAGGGGAGAATAGTACAATAAACAGCAAGAATATTTCTTTCAATGAAGATAACTCAAGATTATACATTTTTTTTTTTGGCAGTTGAAATTTAAATTGATTTATTTTTAGCTCACCTGACCTGAAAGGTCAAGTGAGCTTTTCTCATCACTTTGCGTCCGTCGTCCGTAAACTTTTACAAAAATCTTCTCCTCTGAAACTACTGGGCCAAATTTGACCAAACTTGGCCACAATCATCATTGGGGTATCTAGTTTAAAAAAATGTGTCCGATGACCCCGCCAACCAACCAAGATGGCCACCATGGCTAAAAATAGAACATAGGGGTAAAATGTAGATTTTGGCTTATATCTCTGAAACCAAAGCATTTAGAGCAAATCTGACAGGGGTAAAATTGTTAATCAGGTCAAGATCTATCTGCCCTGAAATTTTCAGATGAATCGGACAACCCGTTGTTGGGTTGCTGCCCCTGAATTGGTAATTTTAAGGAAATTTTGCCGTTTTTGGTTATTATCTTGAATATTATTATAGATAGAGATAAACTGTAAACAGCAATAATGTTCAGCAAAGTATGATCTACAAATAAGTCAACTTGACCAAAATGGTCAGTTGACCCCTTAAGGAGTTATTGCCCTTTATAGTCAATTTTTAACCATTTTTCGTAAATTTTTGTAATCTTTTACAAAAATCTTCTCCTCTGAAACTACTAAGACAAATTTAACCAAAATTGTCCACAATCATCATTAGGGTATCTAGTTTAAAAAATGTGTCCGATGACCCTGCCCGCAAACCAAGATGGCCGACATGGCAAAAAATAATACATAGGGTAAAATGCAGTTTTTGGCTCATATCTCTGAAACCAAAGCATTTAGAGCAAATCTGATGGTATAAAATTGTTCATTAGGTCAAGATCTATCTGCCCTGAAATTTTCAGACCAATCAGGCAACATGTTGTTGGGTTGCTGCCCCTGAATTGGTAATTTTAAGAAAATTTTGCAGCTTTTGGTTATTATCTTGAATATTATTATAGATAGAGATAAACTGTAAACAGCAATAATGTACAGCAAAGTTAGATCTACAAATAAGTCAACATGACCAAAATTGTCAATTGATCCCTTAAGGAGTTATTGCCCTTTATAGTCAATTTTTTACAATTTTCATAAATTTTGTAAATTTTTGTAAATTTTTACAAAATATTTTCCACTGTAACTACTGGGCCAAGTTCATTATAGATAGAGATAATAGTAAGGAGCAAGAATGTTCAGTAAAGTAAGATCTACTAACACATCACCATCACCAAAACACAATTTTGTCATGAATCCATCTGTGTCCATTGTTTAATATGCACATAGACCAAGGTGAGCGACACAGGCTCTTTAGAGCCTCTAGTTTATTTTTTCCAGGTTTTTATATTTATTAAACAATATTTTTTTTATGCTATACTATTATGCAATCAGAATACAGAATCAATTTAAAAAAATTTAGGTTGGCAATTTAATAGATTTGTAAAATATATAATTTGTGTCAATTTTAATTCCTTTTTAGATTATTTCAGTGCAAATGTTTTCATGGATGGGGAGTAGGACTTGGTGGTATAATATTTCTAATATACAAGTAGGTATATAATTCCTCTATTTAAAACAAATTTTATTATCATCATAAAATAAGTTTATAGGAAATAAAATGTGCACTAGGCTTAAAGTTGTAAGAGGTCAAATGGTTTTTTTTTGTCCCCATATGAATGTTTAAAAGATTTGTTTTGATTACATAGATGTCATTTTGTTTATGTTGTTGGGATTTTGTCACATTGATGTGTTCTCTGCATCTTCTATTACCTTGATATGTTATATATTACCTATTTCTATACAATGTACATAAGTATACCAACAATGATTCTTTTTTTTTAACTATTTTGAATAACTAAGCATTTTATATTTCAGGTTAGCATTACAGCTTGTCCTTACAGATTGATGTTGGAAATGGCTATTGGAGTTGACTTTTAAAGGTAAGAAAGAACTATTATATAGATTTATAAACTTTTTTATTTTAGATCATGTAAATTCCCAGGATTTTTATAATCTTATTACAATTTAATGTTTTCTAGAAGGACATGCCAAGTTTTAGGAAGGCAAAAATTATTATTTTGGAAATTTTCTCTCATTTCTTTTCTAACCTTTAATTGTAATTCCCAGTTTGCTAATTGTTGCCTATTTCAGTTTCTTAAAATATGACAGAAAAATTGAAAAGTGTCATTTCTTTTTCAGATAACAAATACTGTGGCTGCAGGAAATAATTGTGTGATGAATTCTCGTACCAAGTTTTTGCAAGGGTTCTTAATGTATAGACAGCATGTCACTCTCTCTCAACATAAGGCATCTGATTTAGCTTCCCCATTCTGACCAGACGTGGCTACAAATACATACATCCTGCACTACAAAACAGACGCTCCACTTTTGCAAGAGTTTTACTTCCAGTCTGAAGAAGACCAAGAGTGACCATATTTCTATTCCCAGATCACCCTTGGAGGTCTTTCGAAATGGACAGAAAGGTTTCCAATATGAATGGTTCATATAACTCTTGTAAAAACCAGTTAAAGAATGTATTTGATAAATTGTAATATTTTTAATGCAAAGATTCTCCATTTCAACAAGAGTGGAAGTTCTATTTACGGGTTATCTAGTGTTTTGAATTTTTACCAAACTTTCTTTTTCTCTCTACCATTAAATGCCATGGAATTTTTTTACTTGTGCACCTTAACTTTTGTCTAACAGATATAATGGTTCTTATCTAGTAATCATTTCCATTAATTAAGAATGGAGATCTAAAAATAAAAAAAATATTGTAAATAATTATAGTATAGCAATGGTTTTATACGAAAATTAAAAATAGTTTGTCAAAATTGGATACATTCAAGAGATTACATGTAGAAATGTTTGTTTAAGTATTCTTAATTTACTAGCAGTCACAGACATGTGTCTTTACTAAATGTCAAGCCTATCACTCAGTTGTAATGGATGATAAGTCTTACAGCGTCAAGGGGAGGTAATACCCCTGTTTAACTCCTCATACTTGAATTTTCTCCAGTGTAACGACATTTTTTTCTTGATTTTTAATATTTTATTGGTAAACGGACAAAGCATGGTTTGGGTTTTTTTTTTCTGTTAACATTTACAATATCATGCAGTCCATTGTTCAAGTTTCTCAAATATCAATAAATTTGTCCAACCTTTATGGATTTTTGTGAACATAAAAGCAGAAGTGTTTTTTTTTAATCCAAAGATAGTATCAAAAGCAATACTTGGAATTCACAATTTTTTGTATCTTAATCTTGGGTTTAAGAGTTTTAGACATCAATAGCTTTATAGAATTTTAGACATCAATAGCTTTATAGAATTTTAGGAAACCTTAACAGAAGCTTTTGATTAAGAGAAAATGTCTGAAGTAATATTGGAAAATATTTTTTTTTTCATTTTTCAGTATATTACTGAAAAATGGACTTATTTTTGTTTTGCATTCAAGATTTACATTTAGCCTCTGATTATGTTTTTTAAGACACCAATAACTGCTTTAAACCTCCCTTGAATGTTGGGAAACATGAACATAAATATCTTCATGATCAAGAAAAAACGTTTCATTTTTATATTTTGTCTTTCCATATTTTATTGGTAAATTGATTTGGTTTTTTACCGCCAACTTTACACTGAAAGCAGCAACCAAGGCATCCTCCAATTTTTTTATTGCTGTTTTTACCAGTTATATAGTATATGTGTTCATTATTTCTTCTTGCATCATATATAATGTTTTTTGATTGATGATAAATAAAACTCTAAAATTATTGTAATTTGAGCAGTACCAGAGTACTGGATTTGTTTTACAAAATATCCATTAGACTTGCAACCATTTTCATACATTAAGTTATGCTGTTCATCTTTGGCTGACATTTGTCATGTCCTAAAAACAAGTAGGATATTGATGGAAGCACCTTACTTTCAAGGAATGTCAAAAAATACTTTCTGTAAAACAATAATTTGTATAATGTAAAAATGTTTATATTAAAAAGGTTGACCCATTAGGTCTGGGGACACAGTTATCATCCTTTGATTTTCGTTGTCTTCATAAAGAGTCCCTAATGTGGACAGTGTATAACTTGCAAATTTTTTTCATACACTTTCCAAGTTTATTTCTTTATATTTTATGCATAAAATAGTTAGAAGGTGGATGAAATTACATTTAAAAAAAATATTTGGGGCATGAATTTGAAGTAAAGTAGTGATTTGGTCCAGTTTGAAAAGGTAAAAAATTAGTATGTCTGAAGCTGTCAAACTGAATTACAGACCCTCTTTAACTTATAATTGTCCATATTTTGAGTTGGAGCTGATAGACTTTTCTATAATTTTGATATATGATTTTTCCCAAAAGAAGTACACTACACTTAAAATCTTTTTTCGAAAGAGCAGGTGCGATTTTTTAATTGTGTTTTTTTGTCTGAAAGAAATTCACTACAAAATAACTGTGTGTTCTTTGGCCATTATTTCAGAATCTAATGCATTCTGGTTATCATTTTATAAATTGTATCCCAACTTTTGTGAGACCATTCTGGGATAAGATCAAGGAAATTACTTATAGCCCTTAAGATTCTTTTCAGATTTATTTACAGTTTATAAATGAACCATTCCGAAATTGAGGTCAATCAAATACTAATAACTTTATCATTCATGCAGTTTGTGGTCCCATTAATAAAAAGTAATTTTGCCACTGTATAAATTTTACTGGAAACATTTTGTTGTAAAGTAGTTAAAATGCTTTGGAACTTCCATATTCTTCTTCATTGGAGGTTAACAAATGCAGACAAATACCTCGATCCACATTATTTTAGAAATAGAAAATCTGAAAATATGATAGAAAATGAATAAAATCATGAAAGTTCTATTTTAACCAAACAGGCTGATATCAAATTGAAATTTAAATTAAAAAATGGAACTCTTTAAAAGAGGAGGTAGAAATAGCTATAAATTGGTATATTTATTATTGTTATTGGTTATCTGATTCAATGGCATTTAAAAGTCTAATGTAAGTGCATGATTTGTGATTTTTTTTGCATCTTATATCCGTGTTTGTACTAAAATTATAGTATGCAGCTTAGTAATATTTGTAAACATTTAAATAGAGAAAAAATTTCACAAAAAATGTGAACATGGTTGGTGCAATTACTTCTGGATCTTAAAATGCCAAAGCATAAATTCCACTAAAAAGATTCCACAGAAAGATAAGATTGATCACCTATAAAACTGCCCTTAATTGTTAACTAAAAGTCCTTGACAACCTACATTACTTGTTGATCTTGAAAATGCATTACCTCGAAAAATTTCATTTTTTGTGTGTGTTATCTAGGGTAACTAGTCTTCAACCCCAAAATTTCTAGTCTGCCCTTACATAAACTTTTTGAATAGGATTTTTCTAGTGTTTTTGAAGTTTACCAAAGGCATTGAATTACATTAGTTGATGCTTAATAACTACTAGATATGTTTGTCCTTTAAAATACAACTGTCGTGTAAGGATTATATATTAATTATGCCATGTGAATAATTTTATCAGTTTTCAAGAGCAAACTTGACAGCATGTCATCCTTATAAAGCGAAATAACGATTTCTGGCAAATCTATGTAATTTTCGAGATATTAGAAATCGGATAGATAAATTGATAAGGTACTAGGTAGTAAACTATCAGAAGAAAATTGCTGATGTTTTTATACGCCCGTCAAAATTTTGACGGGACGTATTATGGTATACAAATGTCGTCTGTCCGTCTGTCTGTTCGGCGTAAACATGTCGCACAGTAACTTGAGACCGACTTATCCAAATTTTATGAAACTTAAGATAGTTGTTTCTTATGATATTCAAACGATCTGTATACTTTTTGGTGAAAATAAGATTAAAACTTTTTGAGTTACGGGACTTAGTAACTAAAACAGGTGTGTGTTTTTTTTCACATGTCGCGCCGTATCTCAAAAACAATTTATGATTATTGCCTAAAACTTTACACACTTCTTAGTTATATTAGTCTTAAGATCTGTATACTTTTTGGTGATGATTCAAAATTTTATTTTTGAGTTATTGAGTATTTTGTAAAAAAAGGGGGAGGGGTTTTTCACATGTCGCGCTGTATCTCAAAAACGATTTATGATTATTGCTTAAAATTTTACACACTTCTTAGTTATATTAATCTAAAGATCTGTATACTTTTTGGTTTTGATTCAAAATTTTATTTTAGAGATATTGAGTTTTTTGTAAAGCCTAAATATCCATAAAATATTAGAATTAGGTAAAAAATCCTTAAAGTGGATGCCTCAAGGTATATATGCAAAATTGGTTACATTAAAACACAGAATTTAATGTTTCAACAACACTTTAGGGATTGCTGCAGTAATTTAATAAGATAGACATGTTTTGGTTCCTATGGCACCTTCATCAGTATTAAAATTACAGAAGAGTACAAAATCCCCAAGTGATGATTTGCACTGCACAATTTGTCACCATAAGAAGAAATTATAAATAGAGAGTGAAAGTAGGTATGAAAGTAAACTGGATCAAGAATGTTAAATAAAATATGTTTTTGCAAATTTGGGTGACAATTTTTGCAATTATGTTCCATTTCAACAACAGAAATAGGACAGACTTGCAATTCCGTACCAATACGACACAGGAAGTAGTACGGTTTGTCCGAGCGAAGCCAATTGGAAGCAATGTAACTCTTAGTGAAGCTAATTGGAAGCTAGTACCGTCTGTCGTTGCGAAGCCAATTGAGAGCTGTATCTCTGTCGGGTGAAGCTAATTGATTGGAAGCACGTAGCTCTGGCAGACCGAAGCCGATTAGAAGCATGTAACTCTGGGTGAAGCCAATTGGAAGCAGTAACCTCTGGAAAGTAGTTAACACTTTTATTAATACACAAATTTTATTTAACATTCTTTTTAAAGCTTACTTTCAAATCAACCATTATTATCTATTCATAATTACTCACCCTGTTGACATTGTGACGTGCAAATTATCACCACCATTTTGTACTCGCCTGTGATTTTTATCCTGATGAAGGTGCTATAGGAACCGAAACATGTAGATCATACTAAATTACTGCAGCAATCCCTCATGTATTGTTATAAGGGCAAAATCTTTTAGAACCATTCAAATAAAAATAATTTTAGTTCATGCAGTTTTAAGTGGTAGTTTAATTTACTGTGAATTTCACATAATGTATCTTTAAATGTAAGATACAGTAAATGAATTTTTTTAGATTTAATTGTCAATGGATGGGGAAGAATCATTGGATCTTGGGTTTATGAATTCATAAGAACAGACTTTGCAATCATGTCAGTTTGTTAATTTATATTTGTAGTCTTGAATAATCGTGATATCCTTGAGTACTTATGGCACCAAATAGATTTTACTAGAAATTATTTTGATATGAAATAGTTTATAAAGAGTTTTCATTTTCGCATAAACAGTAGTGAATTATAAACTGATTCAAAGAAAAACATCATATACTTTAAAATTGAATTTTAAGAAATGAAGAAGAAAAAAGTTGTGACAGTTTTCAATTTAATTCCAAATTGGAGGTTTGATATAATAAATTTCGAAATTTAGTGTTTTTCCTAAACAACTCCCTAGTAAGCTTTAGAATAGAAAATCTAGAAATAGAAAAAGAAAAAAATGTGTACCGGTAGTTAAAGAAAGTATTAATTATTTTAGAATGAATTTAAAGTTTTCTAATGTTCATATGTTCTAGCTGCATACTAGGAATTGGTAATTGTTTCTTTGAC